CCCGGGCAGGGGGCCCGGGAGCACCTGAGGTTGTTGTGTATGCTCGTTGAGTGAGACGTTCTCGCACCAGGAAGATCAATGGCTTGGCTGGTTAATATTCCCGGGCAGGGGGCCCGGGAGCACCTGAGGTTGTTGTGTATGCTTGTTGAGTGAGACGTTCTCGCACCAGGAAGATCAATGGTTTGGCTGGTTAATGCTTCTGGGCAGGGGGCCCGGGAGCATCTGAGATTGCTAAAGGTGTAGGTTTCCACACCTACTGAGTATGACAGCGCAGTAATGAATGGGCTAAGTTAATAAAACATCTAAATCAGCCGCGTCCCTTCTAACCTACTCCATCGCACCTTATACTTAAATTATATATAGACCTGGTCTAGCTACTTGCTGTCATCCCTATTTTCTGTTATTTACTCAGCACAAAACTAACGACTGTATATAAATTTAAATACCACTTCTAGTACCAGCGTTTGTAATAAATGATAGGGTTATACTAAAATAAAAAAAGAAGAAATCTAGGGACAGATGGATATAATAGATATATACGAGAAATATATATATATAGATAATATATGAAAAATATATAACAAAATTACATATGATAAATAAAGTCTACTTCTAGGGTTCTAGTAGGGACTGGAAGGCATGATAGGCAATCCAGGCAGCATTAAATCCTTCAATACCAAAGATAACTCGTCTCTGTCCAAGCCAGAGCATGTACACAGTCTCTTTAGATTGGAGATGCTCTCCACCTAGCTTAGAGAGAAATCCTTCCCTCCAGGTCTTTCTCTGATAGATGGCCCAGCAGGCCTGCATCACCAGGTCTAGATACTGACATACTCCCTGGCCTCGCTAGGAACACACTACCTGTAGGTTATAACAACAAAAGCATCCAGCAAATCGTTAGATCCAGCCACCATATTAGGATCCTTCCTTCTGCGCCTGCTTCTTTGCTTAGAGAAAAGCCTGGCGCTGGGGATTGCAACACTAAATAAAGGAATGGGGGCTGGGATCCATAGATGATGAAGGAAGGATCTGACAGATTAAACAGATGCCATGGAGTGCTTAGAGATAATCTTCATAGTCATAGAGCTGTTGACTGTCTCGCTGCACCTGCTGCATCCGCTGAAGAGATCCAATCATTAAATCTAGGCCAGGATCATCACTGGATTCAGACGGGCCCGTTGTAGTGAAGGATAGGGGATCAATGCTGCGATGGTAGCATCAGTCACAGAGGAGATCAGGAGCAGTACATACTCTAGCAATCCTATCAAGAAAAGAGCTCATAGCCACCACCCGGCACTGGGGCTGGTTGAGGACAACATGTATTGCCTGGACTTCTTAGGACATGGCCTGGCCTGGTCGCGATGGGGATTGAGTCTTCTATAATGTAGGAAGGAGGATAACAGAACAATCTCCCTGTTGATCTCGTCTGAGACAGCCAGCTTCTTACATGAAATTAATCAGGCTCGATGGAGCATCGAGGTGAATCATCAACTAGACATAAGAATAATCAATACCCATCCCAAAGGCTGAAGTGGCAATAATCCAATTGGATGCGCCACAATGCCAGGCCTAGAGAACCTTGGCTTTCTTATCCTGGATTCTAGATTTAGCATAGTAGAATAGATATTGTAGGATCCTAGCAATCTTCTTGGTAGTGGCCTGGGTACAGCAATAGATAATTGCATGGTCCAAGGAAGGGAGTTGGGTCTGCTTATACTAAATCTATAAAATAGCAGATCCACCAAGGAAGTCCTGGTGAGGGAGACTAAAAAGTATGTTATAGGTGAGATCATGGCGGGKGATTAGGCTGTGGACCAGCTGGGGATAGGAGAGGAATATGGTGTACTGGAATTCTTCCTTTATTGTTGGTGGTAGCATGCCTGTCAGGAAAACCATAGGACATTGAATCTCTTATAAAGTTAGGACTAGGGCTATCTGTTTTTGGTATGCCGCGGTGGTCAGGATAAGATAGCACTCATCAAAGACGACTTGATTAAGCTGTTAGATAAGCTGTAGTTAAAGAAGAAAGATGCGGAAATTTAGATGTATAGTCTACTCAACACTCACTAGGATAAGAGAACTGGACCCTAGATATGTTGACTCATGGCTCTGATCCTATAAGATGGCCTTAATCCTAGTATCTTGACATCGACGAAGCATATTCTGCTTAAGAACGACTAGTGGAAGGATTATTACTGTGATTTATATACCCAGTAGTTAGCAGAATAGGAGATAGAGTAGGCTTTTGTCCTTGTTTGTCCGGAGCACCACAATCACTTTATTTAAGCCCTGGAGAATATATTCAAGCATTTAATGCTGGTGGACAGATCAATATTATGCTCCTAGACCATATATCTGTTCTAGGATGGACTGTGCTTGCTCCATCGTCCACTAGCTCCATACAGGTTGAGGCCCTCGACAGCGACGGAATCGTTAGACGAGGGTCGACTCTGCCACCTGGCTCTGGGCTCGTTTAGCGGGGCTCTCATCCCATTCCCATTCCGTGGCGGGCCCTGGTTCATGGGAGGACAAGGCGAGTGACGGGCCAGGCCATAGTCTCTTAGAAGGATTGGGGGTGGTGTATGAGGAGGGCTATCAGATCAATTAATGCCAGGCTTCACTGGCTCGCCGGAATTCCTGGAGACCGGCGTCGGTAAGACCGGCCCAGAAATTAACAGTACCCCCATACACCTGATTGCCGGTGTGCGGCGTATGTGCAGCTTGATAGTGAAAAACAGCGGCCATACTACCATCATAGTCCTCGGTCCAGTCGTTGTCCTCATCATCAAGGGAACCCTCGATAAATTGTGATGCAAGAGTCCCAAACTTCTTAATTGCAATCCCAACCGTAATCTGGCGCCATGCACAAACATGAATCCATTTACCAAGAATCTACTGTCCAACCTAAATCACCGCTTT